ATGGTCCAACCTATGACCAATAATTATTGGTTATGTTTTATTAGCCAAGGAATAGGGTAAAACTTAAATCTTTTTCTGTGTGTAATAAGAGATTCAAAATGGAGAGCAGGTGTTATATAAGAGAGGCTCTGGGACATGAGTAATGAACCCCAGGAAGGTTGTTTTAGTGACTGGAATTCCTGCAGTGTTTATTTTGAACTATTTTTTAAACTGGAATTTGTTGATTTCTTTTTTCTTTTTTTAATTGGCTGTGTTAATGAATTCTGGGCACTTTATAAAGTAGTTTTGAAAGTTGAATGGGTAGTTTATTGTGCTCAATTGATAAAATGGAAAGCCTACTAGTGAAATAGTCAGGAATTGGCCTAAAAGAGGCTTCATAGTGGGCACAGTTGCAGTTATGTAATTTGTTTCCAGTCCTCAAACTTCATACTTGTTATTTTTTTTTTATTATCAGAGTAGTCGTCAACAGAGTAAAGTCCGAGGCAGCTACGGTGAAAAGCTCTGTTCCACAAGGCACAGTACTCGCTCCCATCTTGTTCCTCATCCTTATATCCGACATAGACAAGGATGTCAGCCACAGCACCGTGTCTTCCTTTGCAGATGACACCCGAATCTGCATGACAGTGTCTTCCATTGCAGACACTGCAAAGCTCCAGGCAGACATCAACCAAATCTTTCAGTGGGCTGCAGAAAACAATATGAAGTTCAACGATGAGAAATTTCAATTACTCAGATATGGTAAACATGAGGAAATTAAATCTTCATCAGAGTACAAACAAATTCTGGCCACAAAATAGAGCGAAACACCAACGTCAAAGACCTGGGAGTGATCATGTCGGAGGATCTCACCTTCAAGGACCATAACATTGTATCAATCGCATCTGCTAGAAAAATGACAGGATGGATAATGAGAACCTTCAAAACTAGGGAGGCCAAGCCCATGATGACACTCTTCAGGTCACTTGTTCTATCTAGGCTGGAATATTGCTGCACACTAACAGCACCTTTCAAGGCAGGTGAAATTGCCGACCTAGAAAATGTACAGAGAACTTTCACGGCGCGCATAACGGAGATAAAACACCTCAATTATTGGAGCGCTTGAGGTTCCTAAACCTGTATTCCCTGGAACGCAGGAGGGAGAGATACATGATTATATACACCTGGAAAATCCTAGAGGGACTAGTACCGAACTTGCACACGAAATCACCCACTACGAAAGCAAAAGACTTGGCAGACGATGCACCATCCCCCCAATGAAAAGCAGGGGTGTCACTAGCACGTTAAGAGACCATACAATAAGTGTCAGGGGCCCGAGACTGTTCAACTGCCTCCCAGCACACATAAGGGGGATTACCAACAGACCCCTGGCAGTCTTCAAGCTGGCACTGGACAAGCACCTAAAGTCAGTTCCGGATCAGCCGGGCTGTGGCTCGTATGTTGGTTTGCGTGCAGCCAGCAGCAACAGCCTGGTTGATCAGGCTCTGATCCACCAGGAGGCCTGGTCTCAGACCGGGCCGCGGGGGCGTTGACCCCCGGAACTCTCTCCAGGTAAACTCCAGGTAAACACTGGCCGATTCCCACCAAGGCAGGGTGGCCCGAAAAAGAAAAACTTTCACCATCATTCACTCCATCACTGTCTTGCCAGAAGGGTGCTTTACACTACAGTTTTTAAACTGCAACATTAACACCCCTCCTTCAGAGTGCAGGCACTGTACTTCCCATCTCCAGGACTCAAGTCCGGCCTGCCGGTTTCCCGGAACCCCTTCATAAATGTTACTTTGCTCACACTTCAACAGCACGTCAAGTATTAAAAACCATTTGTCTCCATTCACTCCTATCAAATACGCTCACGCATGCCTGCTGGAAGTCCAAGCCCCTCGCACACAAAACCTCCCTTACCCCCTCCCTCCAACCTTTCCTAGGCCGACCCCTACCCTGCCTTCCTTCCACTACAGACTGATACACTCTTGAAGTCACTCTGTTTCGCTCCATTCTCTCTACATGTCCGAACCACCTCAACAACCCTTCCTCAGCCCTCTGGACAACAGTTTTGGTAATCCCGCACCTCCTCCTAACTTCCAAACTACGAATTCTCTGCATTATATTCACACCACACATTGCCCTCAGACATGACATCTCCACTGCCTCCAGCCTTCTCCTCGCTGCAACATTCATCACCCATGCTTCACGTCCATATAAGAGCGTTGGTAAAACTATACTCTCATACATTCCCCTCTTTGCCTCCAAGGACAAAGTTCTTTGTCTCCACAGACTCCTAAGTGCACCACTCACCCTTTTCCCCTCATCAATTCTATGATTCACCTCATCTTTCATAGACCCATCCGCTGACACGTCCACTCCCAAATATCTGAATACATTCACCTCCTCCATACTCTCTCCCTCCAATCTGATATCCAATCTTTCATCACCTAATCTTTTTGTTATCCTCATAACCTTACTCTTTCCTGTATTCACTTTTAATTTTCTTCTTTTGCACACCCTACCAAATTCATCCACCAATCTCTGCAAGTTCTCTTCAGAATCTCCCAAGAGCACAGTGTCATCAGCAAAGAGCAACTGTGACAGCTCCCACTTTATGTGTGATTCTTTATCTTTTAACTCCACGCCTCTTGCCAAGATCCTCGCATTTACTTCTCTTACAACCCTATCTATAAATATATTAAACAACCACGGTGACATCACACATCCTTGTCTAGGCCTACTTTTACTGGGAAATAATTTCCCTCTTTCCTACATACTCTAACTTGAGCCTCACTATCCTCGTAAAAACTCTTCACTGCTTTCAGTAACCTACCTCCTACACCATACACCTGCAACATCTGCCACATTGCCCCCCTATCCACCCTGTCATACGCCTTTTCCAAATCCATAAATGCCACAAAGACCTCTTTAGCCTTATCTAAATACTGTTCACTTTTATGTTTCACTGTAAACACCTGGTCCACACACCCCCTACCTTTTCTAAAGCCTCCTTGTTCATCTGCTATCCTATTCCTTGTCTTACTCTTAATTCTTTCAATAATAACTACCATACACTTTACCAGGTATACTCAACAGACTTATCCCCTATAATTTTTGCACTCCTCTTTTGTCCCCTTTGCCTTTATACAAAGGAACTATGCATGCTCTCTGCCAATCCCTAGGTACCTTACCCTCTTCCATACATTTATTAAATAATTGCACCAACCACTCCAAAACTATATCCCCACCTGCTTTTAACATTTCTATCTTTATCCCATCAATCCCGGCTGCCTTACCCCCTTTCATTTTACCTACTGCCTCACGAACTTCCCCCACACTCACAACTGGCTCTTCCTCACTCCTACAAGATGTTATTCTTCCTTGCCCTGTACACAAAATCACAGCTTCCCTATCTTCATCAACATTTAACAATTCCCCAAAATATTCCCTCCATCTTCCCAATACCTCTAACTCTCCATTTAATAACTCTCCTCTCCTATTTTTAACTGACAAATCCATTTCATACTTGAATAATTCTATAATTTTTCCATGAAATTTTGCATTTTTTGGTATTATTGCCTTGAGAAAAAAATTATTTACCATTTGTTTTTTATTTTAAATTGTGACGTGACACTGATGAGACTTAATATTGGGGGTCACAACAGAATAAGGACCCCAGTGAAAGTAAGTCACTTTCTCTGACTTTTTTGTGTTATCCTAGGTAATTTACACATATGTTAACCCCTTGACTGTCGCAACCCCCAATCCTGAGGTGTCTCCTGGTGTCGCAAAATTTAAAAAAAAAAATTATTTTTTCTTATGAAATGCTAGAGAATCTTTTCCCGATTGTAAAGACACCAAAAAAACAAAATTTGATGGAAAACTGACGGAATTACGCTCTCGCGAAGTTAGCGACCTCGGCGATACTTACAAATCGGCGATTTCGCCACTTTGAGCCCTATTTTCGGCTAATTCCATTATGCCAGTCAACCAAACTCATAGCTATTTCTTCAGAACTCCATTTTTTCTATCGATTTAGTACAAGAAACTGCCCATTTACCAATTTCAACTACCCAATAACATGGTCAGAAATTTGCAATTTGGCCAATTTCACGAAAATTAAAAAATATGACAATTTCAAAATAAGGGCCAGAATGAACAATGCAGACATTCCTGGCTCTAAAATAAGATTTTTCTTTGTTCATCAGTCATGTCTCCAGGCCCCTCTGATATTACTCTTACTTTCTATTTTGAATTTTTATTCAAACAAAAAATAGAAGATTTACTGTTATGCAGACTACTGCAATACTGTAATAATTGTATAAATAACATCAACCCATTCATGACTGCATATTAGAATGGCTATTTGGACATTTATTGGACAATGATATCATTTGTTTACTTTTGAACATCGGCAAAAATCAAACATTTCCCGTACTTTGTGCTCCATTTCCAGGTTCTTTTTATAGTAAAATCAGTCAAAATCACCTCTATTTCTATAACATATTTTCCATTCTATCAAATGAGACCAAGGAAACGAGAATACAACCATAAATACTATATGAAAATAGACCACAAATTCGGCATTTTAATTAAAGAAAACGGTCGGAGTTTTTTTCTCTCATTATGCACTGCGTGCTCCAGGATTTTTTTTATATGGTGCACACTGACCACACAGACCCATTCTCTCACATGTGGGCCTACCAGCTTTCTCCTGCTTGATTTGAAGCCGCTAGAATTTATGAGTATATATACGTCAAACACGGTACCTCGTAAGACGTATATATATGGCCGCGACAGTCAAAGGGTTAAACTATGTATGATAATTGTACTTATGTGTGCCTATTCCTGAACAAACTTACTTTCTTATTTACTAAATATTATCCTTGTTTCTTCCCCAAACATACCTCTGCTTCATTACTGTGTCTTCCTCTTGCCACATTCAGCCACACTTTTATTTTCTCTCTGTGTGTATATTTTATTTAAGGTGTACTCTAGATTTATCTGTATTATTTCAGAGCAATAATGAAAATTTGGCAACCAAAGGACTGCTGCTGCTGCAGCTTGCGGACTGGAAGTTTGGTGGTGGGCTCACTGGCTCTGGTATAATATAATCTTTTACAGTTACTTTAGTTCTGTTTTAGTAATAGTGTCCTGATTTATTTCTAGTATGTGAACCTCAGTTTATTAATGCAAATACAGCATTTATGTATATCAGAAATATAATTTCACATCCAGAAGCAATAATTAAATTCTTGAAAAAATTGAAAACAATAGTGCATTTTTTTTTTTACCACTACTGTAGCTATCTCCCATAGGGGTCGGGTCACCCAAGAAAAGAAGAAACATTTTCACCATCTCTCATTCAATCACTGTCTTGCCAGAAGCATGCTGACATTACAGTTTGGATGCAAATATCCCCCTCCCCTCCTTCAGAGTGCAGGCACTGGACTTCCCACCTCCAAGTCTGGCTAACCAGTTTCCCTGAATCCTGTCAGGTGTTATCCTGCTCATACTCCATTAACACAAACTAAAAAAAAAAAAAAAAAAAAAAAAAACTCGCCCTCCAATCCTATTGAATAATCAAGCCCCTAGCACTTGAAGCCTCCTTTAATATCCCCCATCTCTCCAATCTCTCTTCGATTGACCCTCTACCCCTCCAGCCCAGATTTATACACACTCTTAGCTAACCTATTTTATTCCACCCTCTCTAAATGTCTGTACCCCTTCAACAACCCCTTCTCAACCCTTTTGGTAACCCCACTTTCTAATCTCCAAGCTATAAATTCTATGCATAATATTTACACCATATATTGCCCTCAAACACAGCATCTCCACTGCCACCAGCCTTCTCCTTACTGCAGTTTAAAACCCATCTTACACCCACATGACAGTGTTGGTAAAACTAGACTCGGGTACAGTTCTTGTTTTGCTTCTATGGATGAAGTTCTTTATCTCCATAGATGTCTCGGTGCACCAACCCCTTTTTTTTTTTTTTACCCTTGTCAATTCTATGGTTCACCTCTGAGGAAATTGCTTTAGAGGAGGAGGAGGAAGAGAGAGGGGAGAATGTGCTTTCTTCGGTGATTAAGGACATGTGTGCAAAGTGGAGTGAGATGCAAAGTTTTGTAGAGAAATATCACCCTGACCAAGCTGAAACAAGCCATATCTGCAACACATTCTGTGACAAAACCTTGTCCCACTTCAGGCAAATCTTAGAGATGCCAGAAACAGGCCTCTCTGGATAGTTTTTTTTTGTGTGTGTGTGTGTGTGTGACAGGGGTGCAGTGACTCTCAAGCTGGTCCCAGTGACAGTAAAAGAAAAAGAAAGGAAGTAACCCCAGAGAAGGCTTTGATACCTGAAGTCCTTATGGAGGGAGGATTTCCCTTCCAAACAATAATCAGTCCTCCCTTTCTCCTCCTCCCTACCTTCCATAAGCCAACAAGAGTCTTCAATAAAGGTAGGTGATAGTGATTTAAATGTTTATTTATATATTTTATTTAGTTCTCATTGTTTTGTGTAATTAAAACTATAGTTAATCTTTAAAAAAAATTTTTTTTGTTAATATTTTTGGGTGTCTGGAACGGATTAATTGTATGTCTTCTTCTTTTCTTTCAACAAACCGGCTGTATCCCACTGAGGCAGGGTGGCCCAAAAAGAAAAACAAAAGTTTCTCTTTTTAAATTTATTAATCTATACAGGAGAAGAGGTTACTAGCCCCTTGCTCCCGGCATTTTAGTCGCCTCTTACGACTCGCATGGCTTACAGAGGAAGAATGTTAATTGTATGTATTTACATTAATTCTCGTGGGAAACATTATTTCGGTTTTTGGCCTTTTCAGATTTAGGCTGACTTTCTGGAATGGATTATGGCCGATAACCGAGGCTGCACTGTACATTATAATTATATTCCACTGGTAATGGGCCACATGGCATGGTTTAGATGAACTACTGAAGCACAGGTACACATGTGTAAAATGTTTCCCCCATGGTCCATGGAACAATAACAGTAGCAGCCAAGGTGGATGAATAAGACACATGTGCAGCATTTAGGTGTTTTTATTGCTGAAATGTTTTGCTGCAGGCTTTTTCAGTCAAGTAAATTATTGTTATACTATATATGTATGTTATATATCTTTATATATGCTTCTAAGCTGTTGTATCTGGGTGCCTTTGCAAAAACAGTGATTATGTATGAGTGCGGTGAAAGTGTTGAATGATGATGAAAGTATTTTCTTTTTGGGTCACACTGCCTCTGTGGGAAATGGCCAACTTGTTGAAAAAAAAAATATATAGATTTAAGAGCTAAACTGCAAAGGGTTGTATAGCACTGATCAGTCAAGTAGAGGTGACTAATACATATATTGAGACAGTTGTAGTGGATATTTTGAAGTGTTCAGTTCATTATCCATGGCAAAAGTGGATTAATTTTTTGAGGTGTTCAGTCCTTCAGGCTATATGAAAGGTGTTCAGTTTCATAGGGTCTGAAGTAGAGGCAGTTGGATGGAACTTATATACTAAAGTAAGAAGGTTGATGTGGCACTGTAGATGGCATCACAGGAGGTAGAGCCTACTAGTAGGTTTGCTGGTCCAAGCTAAGCACGTCTTCAATTCTCATATATAAGAACATGTTAGTAAGTTGTAGAACAATAAGGTACGAAGATGCCATGGTGTTGCTGTCAGACAAATACGTATTGTATTGATGGTATACATTACCAACAAGTTGATGAATAAAACGTTTGCAACATTTCAGCTTATCCTCATAATAACAGTATTTTGCTTTTGCAGAGACAGTCAGATTAATGACTAATGAAGGTACCTTGAACAGTGAAAATCTGTTTTTATATTGCACTCTGTGGGTGCCTGTTTTCACAGCAGAACATTTTATTGTGTCTGTCTTATACTTCATTTATTTCTATTGTGGTATGTTTAAGTTGGTTATTTTTTATGGATAGAGGACTACATATAGAAACTTAAATAAAAATAATTGAGAAATTTGCTGCAAACTGTGAGAAATTCACGTAGTATTTGCAAGGATGAGTTAACATTCAGGTATATTTATTTCTGAAATGTTTTGCCTTTTTTCAACTTGCCAGTGCATATAAAAGCCTAAAAGCATTGCACCATCATTTATCAAATGCACAATAGTGATAGTCCTAAAAAACAATGCAAAAGTAAAAATAATAAAAAAAACGAGAACCATCTTAAGAGCATGGCAAGTACTGAAAATAATGAACATGAATTGAAAAGCACCGAATTGCCAAAATGCTCCAGAGCAAAGCACCATATTAGTGAGGCATGTCTGTATATACTGTGTTTACCTGTTCTCTTATATAATTTGGAGTGACCAAGGTCCACGCATCAAAATATATCCAGTAAAGATATTAGGTCCTACATTAGTATTATCAAAACTACGCTCCAAATCACAAGGGTTCAGGTCCTACAGTATATGCACTTGTGTCCTTTCATCCACATATTCATTGTTGTCATTCATTTCACTTTTTTTTTTACATTGTAGGTTTTCATTTTATTGAAATTGTAGGTTCATTTTGTAACATTCATTTATACATGTATACTTATATACAGTACTGTACTGTGTAAAAGAATTAATAATGACATTTTTACATGAGAATTCTTTGTAGGCAGGAGCCATCTTGGACCTGATAAATGCCTGTGCTGGAACATTTGCTTTTGTCATACAGTACCTGGCAAAATTGAAACTAATCAGCTGTTTGGAAGATGAAAATAGTTCACTCTGTAGTGATGAACTAAATTCTTGTGGTAAGTTTTATTTTAACTGTCCTTTAAAATAATAGTGAGATTTTTGCAAGTGACACCATGGATTACCAGTTTATCTTGTTGGTCATATTGTACTATTGAATATAGTAATCAGCAGGTGATAAAACTAACATTTATTCTGCAGGTTCCCCAAGGAGTTTGAGAGATGAAAATTAAGGATTTCAGATGTTAGGCATAAGGACTAGACCTAACAAAAAAAATTCTTGTTATTTGTTTAGTAGGGTCATTGTAGCTGAGATTTTGGGTGGCTTCAAATGTAGGTTGGATAAATGCATGAGTGAGAGGAGTTGGATTTGAGTGGGAAATGCACACTAGTTGACAGGGTAATCAAAGTTTATCCCTGGGTAACACTTAGGTCACACTACACATACATGTACACGTTTATTTATACACACTCATCTGAGTTTTCTTTGATTTTATCTTAATAGTTCTTGGTCTTATTACTTTTCCTTTTATATCCATGGGGAAGTGGAATAAGAATCTTTCCTCCGTAAGCCATGCGTGTTGTAAAAGTCAACTAAAATGCCGGGAACAATGGGCTAGTAACCCCTTTTCCTGTAAAGATTACTAAAAAGAATAAGAAGAAGAAAATTGTCAAAGTGGGAAGTCTGAATGTGCATGGATGTTGTGCAGATGATAAGAAAGAGATGATTGTGGATGTTATGAATGAGAAGAAGCTGGATGTCCTGGCTTTAAGTGAAACAAAGCTGAAGGGGGTGGGAGAGTTTCAATGGAGAAGAATAAATGGGATTAGGTCAGGGGTTTCAAATAGAGTTACAGCTAAAGAAGGAGTAGCAATAATGTTGAAGGATAAGCTATGGCAGGAAAAGAGGGACTACAAATGTATAAATTCAAGGATTATGTGGAGTAAAATAAAGATTGGATGTGAAAAGTGGGTTATAGTAAGCGTGTATGCACCTGGAGAAGAGAGAAGTGTAGAGGAGAGAGAGAGATTCTGGGAAATGTTGAGTGAATGCGTGGGGAGTTTTGAATCAAGTGTGAGAGTAATGGTGGTTGGGGATTTCAATGCTAAAGTGGGTAAAAATGTTATGGAGGGAGTAGTAGGTAAATTTGGGGTGCCCAGGGGTAAATGTAAATGGGGAGCCTTTAATTGAGCTATGTGTAGAAAGAAATTTGGTAATAAGTAACACATATTTTATGAAAAAGAGGATAAATAAATATACAAGGTATGATGTAGCACGTAATGAAAGTAGTTTGTTAGATTATGTATTGGTGGATAAAAGGTTGATGGGTAGGCTCCAGGATGTACATGTTATAGAGGGCAACTGATATATCGGATCATTATTTAGTTGTAGCTACAGTTAGAGTAAGAGGTAGATGGGAAAAGAGGAAGGTGGCAACAACAAGTAAGAGGGAGGTGAAAGTGTATAAACTAAGGGAGGAGGAAGTTCGGGCAAGATATAAGCGACTATTGGCGAAAGGTGGGCTAGTGCAAAGATGAGTAGTGGGGGGGTTGAAGAGGGTTGGAATAGTTTTAAAAATGCAGTATTGGAATGTGGGGCAGAAGTTTGTGGTTATAGGAGGGTGGGGGCAGGAGGAAAGAGGAGTGATTGGTGGAATGATGAAGTAAAGGGTGTGATAAAAGAGAAAAGGTAGCTTACGAGAGGTTTTTACAAAAGCAGAAGTGTTATAAGAAGAGCAGAGTATATGGAGAGTAAAAGAAAGGTGAAGAGAGTGGGTGAGAGAGTGCAAAAGGAGAGCAGATGAAAGAGTGGGAGAGGCACTGTCAAGAAATTTTAATGAAAATAAGAAAAACTTTTGGAGTGAGTTAAACAAGTTAAGAAAGCCTAGGGAAAGTATGGATTTGTCAGTTAAAAACAGAGTAGGGGAGTTAGTAGATGGGGAGAGGGAGGTATTAGGTAGATGGCGAGAAAAATTTTGAGGGAACTTTTAAATGTTAAGGAAGAAAGGGAGGCGGTAATTTTCATGCGCTGGCCAGGGAGGTATACCATCTTTTAGGAGTGAAGAAGAGCAGAATGTAAGTGTGGTGGAGGTACGTGAGGCATTACGTAGAATGAAAGGGGGTAAAGCAGCTGGAACTGATGGGATCATGACAGAAATGTTAAAAGCAGGGGGGGATATAGTGTTGGAGTGGTTGGTACTTTTGTTTAATAAATGTATGAAAGAGGGGAAGGTCCCTAGGGATTGGCGGAGAGCATGTATAGTCCCTTTATATAAAGGGAAAGGGGACAAAAGAGATTGTAAAAATTATAGAGGAATAAGTTTACTGAGTATACCAGGAAAAGTATACGGTAGGGTTATAATTGAAACAATTAGAGGTAAGACAGAATGTAGAATTGCGGACGAGCAAGGAGGCTTCGGAGTGGGTAGGGGATGTGTAGATCAAGTGTTTACATTGAAGCATATATGTGAACAGTATTTAGATAAAGGTAGGGAAGTTTTTATTGCATTTATGGATTTAGAAAAGGCATATGATAGAGTGGATAGAGGAGCAATGTGGCAGATGTTGCAAGTATATGGAATAGGTGGTAAGTTACTAAATGCTGTAAAGAGCTTTTATGAGGATAGTGAGGCTCAGGTTAGGGTGTGTAGAAGAGAGGGAGAATACTTCCCGGTAAAAGTAGGTCTTAGACAGGGATGTGTAATGTCACCATGGTTGTTTAATATATTTATAGATGGGGTTGTAAAAGAAGTAAATGCTAGGGTGTTCGGGAGAGGGGTGGGATTAAATTATGGGGAATCAAATTCAAAATGGGAATTGACACAGTTACTTTTTGCTGATGATACTGTGCTTATGGGAGATTCTAAAGAAAAATTGCAAAGGTTAGTGGATGAGTTTGAGAATGTGTGTAAAGGTAGAAAGTTGAAAGTGAACATAGAAAAGAGTAAGGTGATGAGGGTATCAAATGATTTAGATAAAGAAAAATTGGATATCAAATTGGGGAGGAGGAGTATGGAAGAAGTGAATGTTTTCAGATACTTAGGAGTTGACGTGTCTGCGGATGGATTTATGAAGGATGAGGTTAATCATAGAATTGATGAGGGAAAAAAGGCGAGTGGTGCGTTGAGGTATATGTGGAGTCAAAAAACGCTATCTATGGAGGCAAAGAAGGGAATGTATGAAAGTATAGTAGTACCAACACTCTTATATGGATGTGAAGCTTGGGTGGTAAATGCAGCAGCGAGGAGACGGTTGGAGGCAGTGGAGATGTCCTGTCTAAGGGCAATGTGTGGTGTAAATATTATGCAGAAAATTCGGAGTGTGGAAATTAGGAGAAGGTGTGGAGTTAATAAAAGCATTAGTCAGAGGGCAGAAGAGGGGTTGTTGAGGTGGTTTGGTCATTTAGAGAGAATGGATCAAAGTAGAATGACATGGAAAGCATATAAATCTATAGGGGAAGGAAAGAGGGGTAGGGGTCGTCCTCGAAAGGGTTGGAAAGAGGGGGTAAAGGAGGTTTTGTGGGTGAGGGGCTTGGACTTCCAGCAATCGTGCATGAGCGTGTTAGATAGGAGTGAATGGAGACGAATGATACTTGGGACCTGACGATCTGTTGGAGTGTGAGCAGGGTAATATTTAGTGAAGGGATTCAGGGAAACCGGTTATTTTCATATAGTCGGACTTGAGTCCTGGAAATGGGAAGTACAATGCCTGCACTTTAAAGGAGGGGTTTGGGATATTGGCAGTTTGGAGGGATATGTTGTGTATCTCTATACATATATGCTTCTAAACTGTTGTATTCTGAGCACCTCTGCAAAAGCAGTGATAATGTGTGAGTCTGGTGAAAGTGTTGAATGATGATGAAAGTATTTTCTTTTTGGGGATTTTCTTTCTTTTTTTTTTGGGTCACCCTGCCTCGGTGGGAGACGACTGACTTGTTCAAAAAAAAAAAAAAAAAAAAACATTCAAATTGGGGTTGAGCAAATATTTTTGTTTGTGGGTTTGGGTTTGATAAGGACTTGTGCCTAGTATGAGCCAGTAGGCCTGCTGCAGTGTTCCTCTCCATCAATCACTGTCTTTGCAGAGGTGCCTGGATATGACAGTTAAGATGTCACTCCACAGATTGTCAGCTCACAAATTGCTTCATGTCATGGCCACAATCAGTCAAGTTAACCCTTTGACTGTTTTGGTTGTATATATACGTCCTACGAGCCACCGTGTTTGGCATATATATACTCATAAATTCTAGCGGCTTCAAATCAAGCAGGAGAAAGCTGGTAGGCCCACATGTGAGAGAATGGGTCTGTGTGGTCAGTGTGCACCATACAAAAAAAATCCTGCAGCACGTAGTGCATAATGAGAAAAAAAAACTCCGACCTTTTTTTTTTTTTAATTAAAACGCCGACTTTGTGGTGTATTTGCGTGTAGTATTTATGGTTGTATTCTCGTTTTCTTGGTCTCATTTGATAGAATGTAAAACATATTATAGAAATAGAGGTGATTTTGATTGGTTTTACTATGAAAAGAACCTTGAAATGGAGCTCAAAGTAGGGGAAATGTTTGATTTTTGCCAATGTTCAAAAATAAACAAATGATGTCATTGTCCAATAAATGTCCAACTAGCGATTTTAATATGCAGTCATGAATGAGTTGACATTATTTATACAATTATTTCAATATTGCAGTAGTCTGCATAACAATAAATCTTCTATTTTTTGTTTGAATAAAAATTCAAAATAGAAAGCAAGAGTAATATCAGAGGGGCCTGGAGACGTGACTGATGAACAAAGAAAATGTTATTTTAGAGCCAGGAATGTCTGCATTGTTCATTCTGGACCTTATTTTGAAATTGGCATATTTTTTTTAATTTTCGTGAAATTGGTCAAATTGCCAATTTCTGACCACTATTGGGTAGTTGAAATCGGTAAATGGGCGGTTTCTTGTACTCAATCAATAGAACAAATGGAGTTCTAAAGAAATAGTTGTGAGTTTGGTCGACTGGAACATTGGAATTAGCCGAAAATAGGGCTCAAAGTTGGGGAGATCGCCGATTTGTTAATATTGCTCAGGTCGCTAACTTCACGAGTGTAATTCCGTAAGTTTTCTATCAAATTTCGTACTTTTGGTGTCATTACCATTGGGGAAAGATTATCATTTCATAAGATAATTTTTTTTTTGTTTTTTTTTAAATTTTTGTCGACACCAGGGGACACCTCAGGATTTAGGGTTGCGACAGTCGAGGGGTTAAATTGCATTCTAAAATTTATGCCATATTAAAAGCTGCAAGCCAGTGAAATTTCCAGGGGTTGGTCTGGGATTTACATTCTCAGGAAAGGTAGGGACACAAACATTGTGAATAATTAACTATTGAAAATTTTTCACTTTTTTTCAGCTGTGGGCTTTAGTATTGCAGTGCTAGTTTGTGAATCAGTTCAGGCTTTTGTTTGCTGCCTGCTCTTACATGGAATACGCAAGGTATGTTTTTATATTTGTATTGTTTAATTCTTGAAAAATTTAATCATTATTCATTGACATAATATACTTCATTGTTGTCAGGTTTGTATTACAAATGAGATGTTTCATTTTTATAAAATTGTAATGTACATTACAGTAAGAAAAAAAAAAAGGAGAGAAAATAAGAAAAAGTAAACATATGTAGAGGAAAAAAAAGTTTATGGCCAAAAAATTCTTCAAAAGCTTACACAAATAACCTGCACATAAGAGAGAGACGCTTACGACGACGTTTCGGTCCGACTTGGACCATTGACAAAGTCACACTAACCAGAAGTGGAGCAGGACGGCTATATATAGGCAGGAAGAGGTGGTGGTAGTAGTAGTAGTAGTAGTACAAGAATGGTAATAATACGGCAAGATGAAATTAAGACACATGCACAACCCCCGGGGCATCCCTATCGTAGATTTTTTTCGCCATCCACCAGCCATTGAATGGCCGAAACGCCCACAACAAAGACAACCAGAACCCGCACATGTGTCAAATTTCATCAGTAGTTTAGTAGTAGTAGTAGTAGAAGAGGTATAGTAGGGGTGGTAGAAGTGGGTAAAAAGGAGGACAGCTAGTCAAATAAAAAGGGGAAGGGGGGGCACTGCAAGAGAGTAGGTGCCCACTGAGGGAGAGCAAGCGCACAGGGTGCGTGAAAGGGGGGTGGTAAATGAATGAAGAAGGAAAAAGAAAAACGAGCAGAAAGAGAAAGACAACCCAGAGGAGAAAAGGAAAGAGGAAAGGGGAAGAGGGAGAAGAAGAAAAAGAAAAAGAAAAAGAAAAAATGAGGATTCAACTAGACGGCGACTGTTCGAGTTGGAAGTAGGGAAGACAGTTTTAGCAGAAGACCAGTCAATAGGATGGCTATGATCTCTGACGTGACAGAAAAGAGCATTGTTAGTGTCGGCAAGCCTAACACTTTTTGTGCTCCCTAAGTCTGTCAGAAAGAGATCGACCAGTTTCTCCGAAGTATTGAAGAGGACAGGAGGAGCAGTCGCCGTCTAGTTGAATCCTCTCTAATACACAACTTTCCTTGTATGAATCTTAGCCCTGGCTTCGTCTCTGTAGATGCCTTCCTCTCCCACTACATTGTAAAATGCTTCAAACTTCAGAACACCCGTGACTTAACCTGACTCCTCATTTTTTCTTTTTCTTTTTCTTTTTCTTCTTCTCCCTCTTCCCCTTTACTCTTTCCTTTTCTCCTCTGGGTTGTCTTTCTCTCTTCTGTCTCATGTTTCTGTTCCTTCTTCATTTATTTCACCACTTCCCTTTTCACGCACCTCTGTGCGCTTGCTCTCCCTCAGTGGGCACCTAACTCTCTTGCAGTGCTCCCCTTCCTTTGTATTTGACTGGCTCGTCCTCCTTATTTCCCACTTCTACCAACACCACTACTACTACCTCTTCTACTACTACAACTACTGATGAAATTAAGACACATGTGCGGCGTCTGGTTGTCTTTGTTGTTGACGTTTCGCCATTCAATGGCTGGCTGGATGGTGAAACGTCTACGATAGGGATGCCCAGGTGTTGCGCATGTCTTAATTTCATCTTGCCGGTATTATATACCATTCTTGTACTACTACTACTACTACTACTACTGCTGCTGCTGCTGCTGCTGCTGCTGCTGCTGCTGCTGCTGCTGCTGCTGCTGCTGCTGCTGCTGCTGCTGCTGCTGCTGCTGCTGCTGCTGCTGCTGCTGCTGCTGCTGCTGGCTGCTGCTGCTGCTGCTGCTGCTGCTGCGTGCTGCTGTGCTGCTGCTGCTGCTGCTGCTGCTGCTGCTGCTAGCTGCCCGGCTGCTGCTGCTGCTGCTGCTGCTGCTGCTGCTGCTGTCTGCTGTGCTGCTGCTGCTGCTGCTGCTGCTCTGCTGCTGCTGCTGTCTGCTGGCTGCTTGCTGCTGCTGCTGCTGCTGCTGCTGCTGCTGCTGCTGCTGCTGCTGTGCTGCTGCTGCTGCTGCTGCTGCTGCTGCTGCTGCTGCTGCTCTGCTGCTGCTGCGCTGCTGCTGCTGCTGCTGGCTGGCTGCTGCTTGCGCTTGCTGCTGTGCTGCTGCTGCTGCTGCGCTGCTGGCTGCTGCTGCTGCTGCTGCTGCTGCTGCTGCTGCTGCTGCTGCTGCTGCTGCTGCTGCTGCTGCTGCTGCTGCTGCTGCTGCTGCTGCTGCTGCTGCTGCTGCTGCTGCTGCTGCTGCTGCTGCTGCTGCTATACTACTACTATACTACTACTACTACTATACTACTACTACTATACTACTACTACTACTATACATACTACTATACTATACACTATACTACTACTATACTACTACTATACTATACTACTATATACTACTACTATACTACTATACTACTACTATAATACTACTACTATACTATACTACTATACTACTACTACTATACTACTACTACTACTATACTACTACTACTATACTACTACTATATACTACTACTATACTATACTACTATACTACTATACTATACTACTACTACTATACTACTACTACTATAATACTACTACTACTATACTACTACTTACTATACTACTATACTACTACTACTACTAATACTACTACTATCTACTACTTATACTACTACTACTATACTATACTACTATACTACTACTACTATACTACTACTACTATACTACTACTACTACTATACTACTAACTACTACTACTTACTATACTACTATACTACTACTACTACTACTACTACTATACTACTACTACTATACTATCTACTAATCTACTATACTACTACTACTATATACTACTACTACTAATACTACTATACTACTATTATACTATACTATACTACTACACTATACACTACATACTACTATACTTACTATACTACTATACTACTACTATATACTACTACTATAATACTACTACTATTACTATACTACTACTACATTACTATACTACTACTACTACTATACTACTACTACTATACTACTACTACTATACTACTACTACTATACTACTACTACTATACTACTACTACTATAATACTACTACTATTACTATACTACTACTACTGCTATACTACTACTACTACTATACTACTACTATACTACTACTATACTACTACTACTACTACTATACTACTACTACTATATATACTACTACTATACTACTACTACTATACTACTACTACTATAATACTACTACTATACTACTACTACTATACTACTACTACTACTACTACCACCACCACCATCTCTTCCTGCCTATATATAGCCATCCTGCTCCACTTCTGGTTAGTGTGACTTTGTCAATGGTCCAACTCGGACTGAAACGTCGTCGTAAGCTTCTCTCTTTTATGTTCGGGTTATTTGTGAATCGTTCCAGTCACGGTATTGTGCCTTTTTTTGTTATTCAAAAGCTTATGCTGTAATTTTTAAATAGGTCAAGATTTTGTACCCTAAAACTGTGGATATGGTCATTGAGAACTGGGAGTCTTTCTTGTAGACAAGAAGTTAACCCTTAAACTGTCCAAACATAGATCTACGTTCACTCACGTGGCACTCCGAGTATTTTGAAAAATTAAAAAAAAAATTTTTTTTCTTTTAAAATGAAGAGCACATTTTTCTACATGTCATAGGATTAAAAAAAAAATTAGGGTCAGTACTTACTGAGATATAAGACCGTGAAGTTGCCTCTGGATGCTCACCTGATGGCAACATCAACTCCTGCAGCTTGCAGAAATGTTTCCGATATACCTTTTTTTTCTCGTTTTTATTTTAATTTTATATATTTTTTATGTTCTGATAATTACAACTTATAATAGTTCTTGTAATTTCATAGCCAATCTTTGTTCTGACTAATACAGTGGACCCCCGGTTTACGATATTATTTCATTCCAGAAGTATGTTCAGGTGCCAGTACTGACCGAATTTATTCCCATAAGGAATATTGTGAATTAGATTAGTCCATTTCAGACCCCCAAACATACACATACAAACACACTTACATAAATACACTTACATAATTGGTCGCGGGGTAGGGGTCGGCCTAGGAAAGGTTGGAGGGAGGGGGTAAAGGAGGTTTTGTGTGTGAGGGGCTTGGACTTCCAGCAGGCATGCGTGAGTGTGTTTGATAGGAGTAAATGGAGACAAATGGTTTTTAATACTTGACGTGCTGTTGGAGTGTGAGCAAAGTAACATTTATGAAGGGGTTCGGGGAAACCGGCAGGCCGGACTTGAGTCCTGGAGATGGGAAGTACAGTGCCTGCACTCTGAAGGAGGGGTGTTAATGTTGCAGTTTAAAAACTGTAGTGTAAAGCACCCTTCTGGCAAGACAGTGATGGGGTGCGTGATGGTGAAAGTTTTTCTTTTTCGGGCCACCCTGCCTTGGTGGGAATCGGCCAGTGTGATAATAAATAAATAATTGGTCGCATTGGGAGCTGATCATAAACCAGGGGTCCACTGTACATGTATTAGGTACAGTGGAACCTCAAAAATCGAACATATCACATATCGAACGTTTCGAAAATAGGACCATTTTTTCGGACAAACTGTGTCCCTATTATCGAACGTGCCCCTATTTTCAGACTGCGGGGTACGGGACCTGTCTGCCGACCCACTCTGTCCGCGTCCCCGCGCAGGCGCCGTGAGCAGTCTAGCTTTGTTTATGTTTGAGTGAACACTAACCTGCGCTCTCATTCACGCATTTTACGATTATTTCGTTGTGTTTAGTGCTTGTGGGACTTGGAAATAAGCTGCCATGGGCCCAAAGAAACTTGCTAGTGGTACCCTTGTGGTAAAGAAAGTGAGAAACACCATAGATGTGAAGAAGGAAATAATACAGAAGTATGAGAGTGGTGTGAGACTTGTTGAGCTTGCTAGGATGTATGGGAAAAACAAGTCGACCATCGGTTCTATCCTGTCAAAGAAAGAACAAATCAAGGAAGCTGATGTTGCGAAAGGTGTTAATATGCTAACCAAAAAAAGACCACAAATAGTCAAAGAGACTGAGAAGTTG